TATATAAAAACTTTTATTACTACAACTACCTTTCTGAGATTCGCATTGCACCTCGTACGTCATTCAATGTCAGTCATTGAAAAAAGATCAAGCGTCCAATCAAATCACAGGCGACCCCGAAGAATTAGGAGCCAACTTTTAAAATGTGAAGAACGCAAGGCGACTTTCATGTGCATGTACATGCGTTGACTGTATCCCGTCAATACAATACTAGTCGAATACGTAGACTTCTACAGGGCCTTCTAAGTAATGCGCGCCGGGTATAATTCAAACCTCTGCCCCCATCGGTACCATTACCCCTAAAGCAAATCGTCTCCAGGAGACGAAATAAAGGGGATTACGTGAAAGGAACGGTACTAGGTAACGTCCGCTTGGAAAAAGTAGGGGAAGGGATCAAGGGGTTCTGGGCGTGAAGTAGGCATATATGGACCGGCAAGGACTGAGGACGGGGATGAGCCGGAGGAATAGAGGGATCGAGCTTGGCGTGTAATAGCGCGTTGAAAGTGTTGTGCTAAGTGGGTAGATAGATTGAGGGCAAGGGATTGGTGTGCCCAGCGTGAAGGTGTGTAGGGTTGGGTGTCAATGGAGTAGTTGGTGGGGGTGACAAAGTGGGTATCAGCAGTGGGGAGAATGGCGGTTGGGGCTGAAAGGAGTTGGCTGTAGGAGCGTTGGGAGTGGGTGGGGAGTTTGGTAGCTCCTCGGCTCGAAACAAAAAACAAAGCCAGAAACAAATTGAATCAAATCAGTCACGATGATGACGCTACTAGAAGCCGCTTCTCGCACGATTGCACACTGTCAATTCCCAGTCCCATTGCGACATTGACCGTTATGTCCACCAGAAGCACGTCCCACAAGCAAGCCAGTCCTACTAGTAACCCTTTTGGGACCATAAATCTCTGAGTTACGAGTGGGGGTGGGAAACCCAAAGAGTGACGAGTCTCTGGCTTTTAATAGCCGCAATGTACTAGACCTTCGGAAGACAGAGTGTCGACAATTTTATTCTTGGAAACCTTGTTCAATAGAGGAGGAAGATAGGTAGTACTGATACATACAGTAACAGAGGTATGGATCACCTCATTGATCTTTCTTGGCACCAGGAATCACCTTCTTCTGGTTGCCTTTTCCACCAGCAACAACCGCCCAACATGCAAGTGCCCCAATTAGCAGTAGTATGAGAGGCCCAAATCCAGACCTCAACAAAAGCAGCTCCATGGCGTAGGTTGTGCTTATCACCGGGAGTCCCAAGAACAGCAAGATGAATTGAACTGCGGCATGTTGTTTCTCTCCCCACAACACAACAGCGAAACCCAGAGCCACATATTCCAACATCCCTTCGTTATTGTGGCGCTGACAGAATTTGTTGGAGACAGTCTGACACGCAACACGTAGGGGACTGAGGTACACATGACCCACATCGGCCTGACGGAGTGGGAGTTTAATGCCTCCGACTTCAAAGAGCTCATTGGCGCTGGATTGATAGGCCGCATACGCCGATGCCAGAACGCCATCAACGACGATGGTTCCATCGGCGGTGAGGGGAGCATAAATTCCTTCACGGTGGACCGTGTCGATCCGAGTGATACCTACCCACCTGGGATCATGATCGGTTGTCATGCGAAGTAGAGAATCACCCAGCTTGACCGAATCCGCTCGCACCGGGCCTCTCTTGCCTTTGACCACAACCATATGCTCTGCGCTCAGCTCCAAGTCGGGTCGCCTGCTGCTCTCGGTTCTAATCTTAAGGAAGGTGGCGGGCTTTGTTTCATGACGATGGGCAAAACCGTAAATGGGCTCAAACGTTTGATTGTTGGTCATGACACGGTCTCCTAGACGAAGGTCTTTCATGGCAACCGGATGCGGGTGATGTTCCACCTGCACGGTGGCGGTTTCAGAGAAGCAAATGCTATCGTCATCACAAGGGGTCGGGTGTTGGAGCTGGGGTAGGGACCTCTACTCCGTCATAAAGGTTCGCAATGAAAAAAGCCGTGGCATCCCCAAGCACCTCGTGGCCGATATGATTCAAATGGTAGCTGTCTTGCTCCCTGTTGCAGTTAAGATCATGGACCCATCCATCAAAGTTACCCCCCTCGATCCCTACTCGTGGCTCGTGGCCAGCGAAGATTCTTTTGGTTTGGTCAAACAAAAAGGCAAACTCGCGACCTGTAGGTGGGAATGACGGAAGCAATTTAGCGCCCCCACTGGAGAAACAGGGAACAACAAAGAAAGAGGCGACCATCATTCTTTCCTACAGTGTACGTCCTACGTACCTGCTGCAGTATTGGCGGCTAGCACTGCAGCAAGCTGGCGTGCTTGTACTGCGTTTCCAAGATCGATCAGACTATCAACAATGTCCATGTTTCCATCACTGAAGCCGCAGCTGAGAAGCAAACGAGTAAGCGAGCCACGGGTATTGAAACAGTGGAACTCTCTGCTGCACTTACCAGTCTTCAACCCAAGGTCTGCCCTCCGTAATGATATGAGGAAAGGTCATCAACACAATCTTGGAGTCAGCATTGGCGCTGAATTTAGCGTTGATGGCCAGCAGGGCGGCTGTCATGTCGGCTTCAAATGTTGGGAGGAGATCGATGTTTGTGGTCATGACATTTTCACAGGCAGTTTTACTTTGCGAGCCGCCGACAAAGCAACTCCTCACGAGGGTCTCAAAATTCAGGTCATTACCACCCAGCCCAATGAGGACCAAGTCGGTTGTGGAATCCACCCAGTTCAGCTGTGGTTGCAAGAAACGAGTGCACGTAGTACCACTCGAGTCGAGTTCGTAGGACTCCTCTGGCGCAAAGTTCGTAGCGGGACAAGTTCCACCATCAGCTCGTCTAAGACCCGTGTTGACTCGTGCGTTTTCTAGATGCGAGATGACACCATCACTGCAGCCTCGATTCAGGTATACGCCCCCGATCTTGTCGGCAGCTTGTGCGAGCCAACTGTTTGGGCTTCGGTAACACTCGTACGGTCCTGTGTAAAATCCAAGGGCACCATTTCCGGATGCGTAAGAGTCCCCAATTCCCACAATACTAATTTGGGCAAAAGCTTGAAGGCTGCTCGCAAGGAGCAAGAAGAGAAGAGAGGCGATCATTATAGATTGTGGCAGCTGGCCTTTTGTGAGTGCAATACGACGTACCGGTACCAGCTTTCGAGAGTACTGTCTTCTTTTCTACTATCATACGCCTTTCAACGCTCCAGTGATGATTGCTTTGATTGATGAGCAAATACAGCGTACGTAGATAACATGTTCTTCACAAATAGGTTGTCTTCTACTACCAAAAGGGATTTTAGTTAGTCACCTCGCGCGGGTGGGAGTCGCCGTAAGATCTTGCAGCAAGAAGGCGCAGCCGTTCCGCAAACTCAACCGTGGGACCACCCCCGAACCCACGAAGCTGAGGCCATCACTGGCTGGGCGACCAAACCCCACCGTAAGGCAGAAACCTGATTGGTTGATGAGTACCATATGGGACTCCCTATTTACCACGTGCTGACAGATGCATGATGTCATCATGTCAGGGCATCGTGCGACCTTGTTCATGAATTTCAAATCAGCAAAAGCAATTGAGTAAGATTCCTCTTCGATTTTTGCCAATGACAATGGCGGAAGACCGGTCATTAACTTGAGCATATCTTTACCTCCTACTAAACCAACCATCGGAAACATGTCGTGTAGACCACCCATAGTGAATCCCTATGCTCGGCCAGCTTCGACAGGTGCGCATAATAACGAAATGGGACGCCAAAGTCAACAGAGGGTATCACAAGAGAAACGAAAGTATCAACTCGCTGCCACCAACTCAAATCGACGAAAGAAGAAGAAAAAGAAAGCTCCAGAGAAGAGACGAGCAGAGCAGGGAGAACAACCAGATCTTGAAGGCAACGCGGCCTTCGATCCTCTCAAAGACTGTCATATTTGCAAGGCCAAGTTCTACCAACTTCGAGTGCCTAAGAGAGCACATCACGTATTGTGTATCAAAAATCGCACCACCAAAGGAAGAGGTGTCTTGTCGGATCAAACGTTGGCTTGCGAAGAGGAGGGGAAGCGGCTCGAAAAGGTGTTCAATACACCTCTGGATCCGTCGGAGAAGGGAAGTTGGAGATACTCAACCAAAGAGGCAGGAGACCAATTCTTTGGCCCCAGAGGTCCCACCAAACAACCATCCAAACCGTCCACCCAACCGTCCAACAGTGCCACAATGGCAATCAACGAGATACCTCCACAGATGCTGTGCAGCGCCGTGACTGAAAAGGTCAACGACCCTTCCTTTTGCAAGAAATACAGCAGCAAAACCAGTCCACTTGCCATGATTGCCTTTGCAGAGGAGGTTTGCAGCAAAATCATTGGTGGGAAGAAAAAGAATGATGGTCTTCTGGATCGACATTTCGATGGTATAACCATGACAGTCCCATACTTCCGTGGGTCAATGAGCCCCCACTATCACTCTATTGTTGGAAATAAGCTGCTTCTTGTGGATTGGATCCTGTTGGGGATAGATGTTCCATGTCCAGACCCAACATGCTCTGGTTGTTTGAAGAATGACAGAACCAACTTCTCCAAGAACAGGACTCTCTTTCCTGTTTTTTGCATTGGTGGATCCCCTACGTGGTGTATGGTCCAATCAATGGTGTGTGAAGAGTGTAACAGGCGCTTTGACGCAAACTCTGCAGACGTTTTGGTTGCAATTCCAGCTCATGCAGCAAATCTTTATCCTGTTGAGCCAAAGTATGCTCTTCCCGAAGCAGCATCCCACATCTCCAGAACGGCCACAGAAGTGTTTGACTCTCTCATGCTGACGTATGGCAATGGTGAGTTGTGCAGCCGAATGCTCTACAGTGCATTGAACAGAGATTATCTTGTCAAAACAGCATCCTACTATTCGTTAATGCAACAGCTGAAGAGCTACAATCTAGAGGAGCCACTCAAACCATACATTGCCAAAGATGGCGTCTTCATTCGCAACCAAGGATATCCTCCACATGGAGACACCATTCGAGATCTCTTTGACGAAGCTGCTTCATCCAACAAGAATTCATGGGGTATTTCTGACACGGAAAGGCATACACGTGAGATGCAAGCTGTCAAGTCTGACGGTATCATTGCTCAAGACCATACCTTCCAGCCAGTAAAGAACTATCAAAAAGGAACAGGTGCTGTTGCTGTCTGGGATGTGGCAACTTGGACTGGAGAAATCGCTGCCGCCATCCTTGTTCCTTCAACCAAAACAGAGCACTTCTCTCATGCTGCCAAGCAACTATCCACAAGAGACGGGTTCAATCCAAAGGGGATGTATTCGGATACGTGGCCCAATAAACAAGATTTCTGGAATAACATGTTTCCACGCATTCAAGGACGTCTTGGCTTGTTTCATTTCGAGAACAGAATCACCAGAACACTCAAGCACAACCACATCGACTATGCCAAAGCTCTTGCAGATCTCTTGGGATGCCTCTACATTTACGTCCCAGAGGACTATGAGGGCGTGCTGCGTGCATTGAGGAATGGAACGCTGGGTGGCAAGAAACACTCAAACAGAGACATCGCAGAGCTCAAGAGAACCGGAGACTTCCGACGCCGCTATTGGAAATACATCAGGAAGCAGATGCGCCCTCCTGAAACAATCGTTCAAAACCTTGATGATTGGTTCTGCCAATACAAAGTCACTGCCTCTCCTGGAAGTGCACCAGCTGGTGGAAGACTTGATCCGTACAGAAAGACCACTCTCTTCACTGAAGATACCAAAGTCGCAGTCGAGAACTGCAAGGAAAAGGCAATCCATTTGGTAGATCCGATGCCCTTGGAGGAGATGTATGAGACTATTCCACCTTCACCAAACTCGAAGCATCAACTGTCACAGTACGTTTCCAAGAGAGGCGAATCGAAGCTGGAGATGTATCATGATCGGTTTGCAAACTTTGGCAATGGAGGGATGCGAGCGACACTCATTGACAACCTGAACTTGGCAGGAACAGCAAGGTTCAACCTCAAGATTAGACACAAAAGAGCATTGAAAGACAAGGATATTGAGACGCGAAAGCTCGTACCTGCTGGCTGGGAGACCACTGTACCCTACTGGAACCATTCGGAGCTCGGATACATCAATGGCATGGCAAAGTCCGTCTGATTGGATCTTCCGTTTCCAGATGCTGAGCCATTGCCGCCGGATAATGGGGAGAGATTCTTCTCTCAATATCTCAAGACAGTGACGCCAAAGCAACAGCAGTATGCCAGAGACTGTTGCCTCTGCGATATCTGTCAGCGACCACAAGATCGACCACAACAACCACAAGATCGACCACAACAACAACAGTCGCCAACTCGCAATTCAAATCCTCCAACACCAATCCGTCTTTCAAATAAGAACCAAACGGCTACCACTGCAACGACAAACGTCAACAATGTTAGTAATCGCGAGCATGGCCAACTGCAACAGTCCCCGGCACCATCGCCGACGCCACGCATACCTGCTGCTGGAACTGCTCCACCCATGGTTGGTGGTGGACCCATGGCTGCACCACCCATTGCCGGTGGTTTCTTTTGGATTCAACCGCAGTTCTTGGCCATGGCTCCTCCTCCAGGAGGATGTTGTGTTCCATTTAAAGCATGGTTATGTCGTCGTGTTGGAGCACCACCTCATCTGCATGGTTGTCCTTACAGATTTGTGGTCAATGGGTATACATACCCACTACCACCGTAATCATTGTTACTTCCTCCTTGGAAGCCCAATCAGTGAATCGGATTGCGTAAAGGATCTACCCCCAAGCCTCCAATCCCCATCATCTTGGTAGACAGTAGATAACAGTAATAGTTTGTATGTTAACACCAATTGTTGTTTCAGCCGTTCATCATTGTCAAGGTTGATTTTTGGGCGATTAGCTCGGTGCAAAGGAAAAAACTGACTCAGATCAGAAGAAAAGTGAGAGAGTCCACGTCGTGATTGAATGCTGTTGGGTGCTGCTGACACTTTGAGTGCCGGGTAGCATCCTTTGGCAGGGGATATGGCAATCCCCTGGTAGTTTGGCTAGATAAAAGTAGTCGTTGTGCCTAATCCCCTGTTTTCAACGTATCTTGCAGTCATTCAAATTGGAAAGATGACCCGGTCAGGTGGGATTCAGGGAATCTAGAATCAAACCCTCTCCCTTTTTTTCTCCTCCTTTTCTTTTTCCCCCCGCCTGCGGCGCCTAATCCCCCCTAAAAGTCCAGAGCAGGGCCAAAGCGGTAGAAGGCAGTGATCTGATTGGCTAATCAACCTATGACATCAGCAAATGCGTCAGCAAAGATTCAAATATACTTAACGTACCATTAATAGTTATTACGGATACAGTGTGCTATCAAGTTGAAATTTCGTGTTTCTGTTTCCGAAAGAAGGATTTCTCTTCCGTCGCGATCGATCGACAATGACATCCAGCCACTCGACAGCCATCCAGAGCCACTCGACAGTCATTAACAGCAGCAGAAGAGTAGAGCAAAATGGAGCCACCACCAACAACAGCAACAGCAGCAGCAACAACACAAAATGAAGGGATGGGCTGCCAAAGTCAGAATAGGAATGCCCAGCAGAAGAGAGCATATCAACTCGCCTCCAACAACAACAGATCCAAGAGAGCCAGAGAAGAAGGACCCCAAACAACACTGGGAGGAGAGGTAGCAGAAGTCTTTGATCCACTCAAGAACTGTGTCATCTGTAAGGCCAGACATCTTGGTCTCAGAGTCCCCAAGAGATCACACTCTGTCTTCTGTATTAAGAATACAATAACAAAAGGACAAGGAGCTTTGAATGCGCTGACCATGGAGACAATCAAAGAAAGCAGAAGACTCACCAGACAATTCAGTGCTCCTCTACCACTGAATGAGAGAGGAAGCTGGAGGCATTCCACAAGAGAAAATGGAGAAGCATTCTTTGCTGCTAGAACCAACACAGCCAAACCAAAGCAGAGGCAGCAACAGCAACAAAAGGAAGCAATGGCCACTCCACTTGCTCTCTGTGAAAGAGTCACCACTCTTGTAAAGGATACTGCCTTTGTGGAAAAGCACAAGAAGAAAGGAGCACCACTGGCAATGCTAGCAATGGCAGAAGCAGTGTCAGAATCCATTACCATGACAAACAATCAAGAACTCTTCCACCAACATTTTGAAGGACTCACCATGACAGTTCCATCCACAGAGGAGCAATTCAAATCTCCCCACTATCACTCTATTGTTGGCCAGAAACTCCTCATGGTGGACTGGAATAGGTGTGGTATTGCTG